TACTGTTATTGATCAATTGTTCGAAGGCTTCGCGTGGGATACTGGCAATCGTAACGGCTTCCAATGCCTCGGCGCTTTCCTTATAAACACCACCTTCCAGCAAAGCCGTATAACCAAAAAACTCTCCTTCCTGGCATACCCTGGTGATCAGGTCCTTGCCATCGTCATTGGTTTTAAAGATCTTCACCTTGCCCTGCTCCACGTAAAATAACCGGAACGCATGTTGCCCCTCACTATAGATCAGCTGCTTCTTGCGGTAATTGCTGACGTCCTGCTTTTCGCGGAAAACCGCCAGTATGTCCTGCTCCTTTTCGGTATCACGCTGTTCGGCATGCTGACCGGATTTTTCAACGGCTGCTTTTTTTAACCGGCCTTCAATAGCGTTCAGCAACTCGGTACCGGTAAAAGGCTTGGTGATATAGTCATCAGCCCCCAGCTCCATGCCCTTCCTTATTTCTGCGCGCTCTGTTTTAGCAGTGATAAAAATAAAGGGGACGCGCTTCATATCCTCATGCTTTTGCAGAAGGTGTATCACACCGTAACCATCCAGCTCGGGCATCATAATATCACAGACAATAATGTCCGGTTTCTGCGCCAGTGCCATCGATACGCCCTGTTTTCCATCGGGTGCTAATAATACTTTATAATTGGCGAGTTCCAGGATCTCACCCATATTTTCGCGAATATCCGGGTTGTCTTCAATAAGTAGTATGGTCTTCATCCAGGTGTTGGTCAAGGCTAAAAGTAATCGTAAAGGTAGTGCCTGCACCGGTATTGCCGGTACAGCTGATGGTGCCGTTCATTAAAGCTGCATACTTGCTTACGATATGCAGGCCAAGCCCGGTGCCTTGTATATTAACCGCATTACCGGCACGAAAAAAACGTTCAAACAAATGTTTCTGATCTTCCGGCGGAATGCCGATACCACTGTCGCGAACCGTAAGTATCAGTTCATTGTCTTTCCGTTGGGTAGACAAATAGATCACCGAATCATCGGGAGAAAACTTAACGGCATTGGATACCAGGTTTTGAACAATATGCCTTAACAGCGATTGATCCAGCAACACTTCCGCATCGCCTTCATGCACATACTGTAATTGCTGTCCTTTTTTCAGAATGGTTTCCAACTCGCTCACCATAGCTTTCATCCATTCCGTAATCACCACCTGGGCGGGCCGTACATGGATCTTGCCTTCTTCAATGCGCCCCACCGATAAAAAATCATTGAGTATATCGGTCAATACATTCACGGACGAAACGATGCGCTGCACATGTTTTTCACGGCGGGGATGATCGTCTGCACCCGGATATTGAGACACCAGGTAAGCAGACGAAAGAATGGTACTGAGCGGCGTACGAAACTCATGAGATGCCATAGATACAAACCGCGACTTCAGCTCACTCAGATCTTTCTCCCGCTCCAGCGCTTCCCGCAGCGATTGGGTACGTGCTTCCACCTTAGCTTCCAGCTCTGCATTCAGTTGCAGCAATGCCAGCTCCGATGCTTTACGCATGGATATA